AGAGAAACCCTCAGAGCAACCGGCTCCCAATAACTCCCTCAGCAACTTACTCTGTCAAGAAGGCAATTGGCCAGGTTTGGTGTTAGATGAAACAAAAAAGTCCCACTAAAAATGAAGTTAAAGCGCCCTTTCTTCACCCTCTGGTCCCTCTGGGGCGCAGCCCCTGGACTCCATTTTGTTGTTGTTATTGTTGTTGCTGCTGCTGTTGTTATTGTTGCTGTTGTTGTTATCAACAGCGAGCTTGACATCACTGCCATAGAAGCCCTTTTGATGTGAAGATGGGTTTGTGAACTCCCATTCTGCTTGCCTCAGAAAAGAATCTAGAGCCTATAAACAGTATGATCCCAACAGCAAGGGCGAACTTAAACAGCCTGCTCTACCATCCTGAGGAGTCTTCACGCACCAAAAGGGAGGCCCAGTTTTGTTCAAAGTTACAAATCCTGCGCCTTGTCCCTCAGACAGTTGTGGCAGTTGCTGCCCTCAATTTCCTGAATCCCTCTCTTGGTAACTGGCTGAGCTATTTCATCACCTGCCACCTGCCTGGACCGTCTGGAGGGCATCCTAGTGGGTCTCCCATCATCACTGGGCAGCCAACCAGAGTTCGAGGGAATCCATCAAACCTGCATCTTTCTGCTGGAGGATACTGAGTTTAGGGCGTCACAGGCTTGCCTCTCTTTCTAGCCTGTTTCTCTCCTACCCACTCCCTGCTTACATTTATGTATTTGTGTGTGTGTGTGTGTGTGTGTGTATGTGTGTGTGTGTGTGTGTGTGTGTGTGTGTGTGTGCTGTGAAGACAAGAAGAGAAAAAACATGCAGGTGTCAGTTCCCTCCTTCCGCTCTGTGGATCTTGGGATCAAACTCAGGTCATTGGATTTGGCAGCAAGCACCTTTACCTGCTCCTGCCCCACTTTTTTTTTTTTTTTTTTTTTAGAAGACCTAAGTGGCTGTGCTGATCACCTTTGCTCTCTGGTCACGCCCTTTCGTAGCTCTTGCTCATCAGACACTCCCGCAGTGGTATATGGACCTTCAGTCTCTGGTCCAGGGACCTTGTCAGGCTGCTCCTGTCATTTCCCCATTCTGGAACCCTGTCTTTCAATGCTGGTCAATCACAAAGCTTAGTAAGTATCCTCAGTCCTTCAGTGAGGTGGCTGCAGAGCATCGGCATAGACACCAGACACATGCCCACAGCCTGCCTTCCTTTCCCGGTTTCCCTTACCCCTGCTTCTGTAAATGCTTCTCTGTCACTACAGACTGACTTATCCTTGCTGATTCTCCTTGGCTACAAAGTGCAACCTAGATGCCACTAGCACAGTGGGGCCCTTGTCCTCTTGAATGGACAGGATTTTTTGTTGCTCACTCTCCACCATGATCTACCAACAGTTACCATAAAGTGGTGTGTGTGTGTGTGTGTGTGTGTGTGTGTGTGTGTGTGGTCTCTCTAGCCTACTGGTCTAGAACTCACAACTGTCTTCCTGGCTTACTCGAGTGCTTGGATTCTAGGCATGAGTCACCAAACCCAGCATCAACCTAATGGTTTTTTGAGTGCTTCAACCCAGAACCTAGTGTGTATGCAAAAATTCTTAATGAATGACTCCATTAACAGCTTGAATTTATTGAATAACAAATGAATAATGAATGCTCCATTGAAGGAAAGCTCCTTAGTCATAGCGTGCGCAGCCCGTTCTTCAGACAGGAACTTTGCTTCTCTTCGAATGTTTATTTTTACTCTGGGATATACAAGAACAGGCAGAAGCAGCCACTGCTTCATAGGAACCAAGGAGAAGGTGCTGAGGAGAACAAGTAGGGGAGGGAGATGTTTCTGAAACCCCAGAGGAGATGCGCGCTGAGGAAAGTGAGTCAGACAGGGTAATGTCCGGGACCACACCCAGCCCTTAAACTCCAGGAGTGCTGTGGGACCGAGTGATTGGCCAAGGTCCAGGGCAAGAATACAGACAGACACTAGTTCTTGTCCAGTTGACATTTATACTTGTTTGTAGTTAGTCTTAAGAAGCCATTTCAGCTGGTCATGATGGCACACAGTGGGAATCACTGTACTAGGGAGGATGAGTCCCAGGATTATGAGTTTGAGGCTAACCTAGGATGTTACATGCCCAACTTCAAAAGATCCCAAATAAAATCAAAGAAACAAAAATAAAATTATCAAGTGTTATATAAAAGTGTTATTTCAGTTTGTTTTTGTGTGGTATTAAATATGAAATATGTGACTTGAAATATATATATGTTCAATTTATGTGTTGTAACTAATAAGAGTTTTGGGTGTTTCTTCTACTCAAGTACTTAATTTTTTTAAAGTTTATTTTTAGTGTGTATTTATTTTTATTTTATATAGTGATGCTGAGTTTGCACAGTACGTCTGTGGGTCAGGTCTGTGCAGTATGTAAGGAGGTCACAAGCTATCAGGCTCCTTTGAACTGGAATTTCCTGACAAGGGTGAGCCTCCAAGGGGTGCTAGAAACCTCCAAGGGGGTACTTTTAAACAACGAGCCATCTCTCTGGCCTCTAAGAGTTGTTTTTTTTTTCTTTTTTTTAAATTGATTTTTATTGAGCTCTACATTTTTCTCTGCTCCCCCTCCCTGCCTCTGCCCTCCCCCCTCTAACCCTCCCCCAAGGTCCCCATGCTCCCAATTTATTCAGGAGATCTTGTTCTAAGAGTTGTTTTAAATAATACTCTTGTCATAAACACTGCAAACTCTCAGATTGCAATTTGCCTTTATAAATGCCCTTTTATCCCACCATCACGAAAATATTTCTCTGCACCTCCTACCATTGTTACGGTTTTATTTTCTTCGAAGAAACTCGGCTTACTACTAATTTTCTCTGGTGCCGGTGTGAGGTTGGTGTGACTGGGGGCATTCCTCCAGAAAGTCAGCCCACTCACTAGCCTATACTCCACTGAACATGCTACTTCCCCTTTATATCCTGGGGTTCCTTTCCCCTCCAGCTGAAGTGTAACGATACTTTTATTTCTGGGTTAAACATTTATAACTATCTAGTATTTATTTTTGAGCCGGGAAGATCACACAAGGTAGAGAAAAATTTATCTGACTTTTTGCAGAACTGCGGTGGCCCCTAAGCACCACTGAAGGGAAATGGAGGAAGCCCTAAATGAATGTCTAAGGAGAGGATGACGTTCTCAATGTGTGTGTATTGTTGACTTGGGCACAACCACATCAAAGACCCTGATGCCTCAGACCTATGGGGAGGGAAAAGCCTCTGAGGCTCAGAGGGAAATGGCAAAGCCCTCTTCTGCCAAGTGCAAAAGCTGGCAGTGTGTGCGAAGGCTAGCAACCACAGCTTCCTCCTCCCAGATGACCATAGCCCGAGACTGCTTCCCTCCTGAGCCCTCCTGCCCAAGACTGCCGAAACCCATCTTCTTGTTCAGCTGTAAACAATGCAGCAGGCCCCTTGATTTGAATTTCAGATATATAAAATAACTATTCCGAGTTTTCAGATTGCTCTTGTAGAAGGCGCTGCTCCACCAGAGAGCAGAGCCCACCTGATCCCAGATTTTCTGTACATGTGTCTGTGTGTCTATCCATTTCCTCAATGACTGAGGCAGGTTTCCAGGACCAAGCTGTGCCAGACTTGGCAATGTGGGACCACCTTCCTTAGCCAGCCCTCCTCCTACAACACGGTGCCGTTTGCGTACCGCCCACACATGGCATCTGGTATAGTTGTCACCTGTATATTGTTTATACAATTGGTCTTTTGCTTTTTACAGCATTGTTTGGAGGGGAAGTCTGCACATGTTCAATACAATGCAATTATTTTTTAATATCTCCAATCTGTTGTTATTCAATGTTTGGAAGTCATTACGACAACAAATATTCCTAGGTCTGTGCCTTGTGGGTTCTTGGTAGGGTTGCTTTCTCAACTCTCAAGGTTGGTTAAAGCTGCATTTTGACACATTCTAAGCAAACAAGCCGTGGGTACCTTTGTGCCAGAGTGTTTAATTGCTAATGTGAGGCCTTCTAGAACTCTCTTTTATCTTGTATAATGGTTTATAATGTTCAGGATGATGGTTTCTCCTTTAATCCTCTGTCCAAAACAAAGAAAACTCTCAGTCGGGTGCCGGTGACTTACTCCTGTAACACCAGTGTTTGGGAGGCCGAGGCAGGAAGATTGTTTAGAGTTCAAGGCCAGCCTGTGCTATGTAATGAGTTCTAGGCCATCATAAGCTAAAAAAAAAAAATGAGACCCTGTCTCGAAACATATACACACACGCATGCACACACACACACACACACACACACACACACACACAACAAACAAAAAACCCTCTCCAAAAAAAAAAAAAAAGACCTAGACCTTTCCTGTTCCATCTTTATTGACCTGCAGTATAAGCAACAAGTAATTCCTGTCTGGGATGGGCTCTAGGCCTGGAGCCCACTATGCGGACAAAGCTGCCCAAGAGTTGTGTTAACTCTCCCGCCTCTGCCCCATAGGATTATGGATGTGAACCACCAAGCCCAGCTTAACAAATAGACTTTTATAGCTGTAAGCTGTCGGTTCTCAACCTTTTTAGTGCTATGACCCTTTAATACAGCTCCTCGTGTTGTGGTGACCCCCAGCCATGAAGCTATTTTCATTACTACTTCATAACTACAATTTTGCTACTATAAATTATCATGTAAATGCTCGTGTTTGCTGATGGTCTTCAATGACCCCAGTGAAAGGGTCATTCGACCCCAAAGGGATCGCATCCCCCAGGGCTGTAAGCCATTGGGATTTCAGGGTTGCTTGTTTTTGGAAGTATAACCTAGCCTATCCTGACTAAAACACATTATTTTCCAATATCTCTGAGATTTCCCCCTTTTTCAATTTGATTGAATTATCCTCAACTGAACTCGCAATAGATAGTTTCTCAGAGAGGTTACACTCTTTCATACTAGCTATAATAGCTATAGAGAAATATAATTTTAGGAAAAAAATGACACAAAATAACTCCATATTTGACTCTTTGCTAACATATTTTTTAGGTAACCTGAACCTGAGAGAATGTTCGCTAAAGCGACTCGGAATTTCCTTAAAGAAGTTGACGACGGAGGAGACCTAATCTCCGTCTCACACTTGAATGACTGTGACAAGCTGCAGCTCCTGGGTCTGGTGACCAAGAAGAAACGGTACTGGTGCTGGCAGAGACCCAAGTACCAGTTTTTGTCTGTCACCCTGGGAGATGTTCTCACAGAGGGGCAATGTCTCAGTCCAGGTATGTTTCCCTATGACGATTCAGCGTCTACTCCCCAAACAGGAAGGGCTCCTCTAGGCGTCTGGAATGGACGTGCTGTCTTATACTGGGTTCTTCCTTTTCCTTGGCTCTCTGGTGTAAAAGGATATTTTTTCTTATTGAGCACAATTACGCACACCCGAAATGGAATGTTATGCCCTAGTGTTGTGAAAGTGATAGTCAGTTTGGGTCTAAAAGTTCCTTGTGCCCATCATAAATGTTAAAGCCACTCGGCATAAGTGGGATGGCTCCCCTATATGAAATTAGGTTTAGTGTCGAGACAATATGCTGTTAACCGATCAGAGGGGCATGAAAAGTTCTGTTTCTTGCATAATGATTCTGAGGGGAGCAGGGCAGTCTCCCACTCTGGTTCAAAAGTGGCTATAGAGGGCCTGCTAAAGAGATTGGCTCAGCCTTTATTGTGGCAGCTGGTGAAGTCCCCTGCCTACAAACTAAGACCCTGTGGTTTACTTTTCAGTGGCCCCAAGGGAAGGGGCGCCTGGGCTGGTACTGCCCCTCCTGCTGCCGTGTGTGTGTGTGTGTGTGTGTGTGTGTGTGTGTGTGTGTGTGAGGGGAGAGAGGGAGAGGCAGACAGACAGATAGATCCAGAGCCAATGTGACCAGTGGAGATCAGAGGACAGTCTTGGGTATCAGTCCTTATCCCCCTTGTTTGAGACCAGCCATTCTGCCACCGTGTACACCAATTGATGTGGTGTGTGGCCCAAGAGCTCCTGGGGATTCACTCTCTGGTTCCCAGCTCACTGCAGGCACACTATGTATATGTTTATAGGTTCCAGGGATTTGATCTCAGGTCCTTGTGTTTGGGTGGGGAGTGTTTTTACTGGCTGAGCCATCTCTTCAGCCCCACCTGGTCCTCTAATCAGTTTGTAGAGCTATGCAACAGAGAAGGAAGAGGGACTGATGGCAGGCTGGAGAGCTGGTGTAGACAGAGAGCACAGAGGATTGTTCACGGCACCCTCGTCTAGTCCTTGCCATGTAACCTTTAGTCCATGATAGCTGTGCTAACGCTGGGATTCCTTAAGATTACAGCAGCTAGTGATCTCTGCACTCTCGTGATAAGAGCACTCTATGATGTCTCAACAGAGATGAAATCACCTAAGGATGCTTCTCTGACAACTTGACCCTGTTGCTAAGCAACACGTGGCTATGTTTATAAAGTATACAAAGAGATGAAGGAAAAAACTTTATAATGTAGCATTATATGTCAAAATCCATGAATACTTAGGTCATGGTCTTTTTTTGAACTGCATATAATGGAAAAAATTGTGATGGATGTGTGTATGTGTGTGTGTGTGTGAGAGAGAGAGAGAGAGAGAAAGAGAGAGAGAGAGAGAGAGAGAGCGCCAGCCAATAGCAGGTGTCTTCTGTAGCTCTCCACCTCATTGTTATGAGCAGAGTCTCCCCAGCCCTGGGTCAGGCTAGCACAGCCTGGACTTTTCTGGGATGTGCTGGAGATCTGAACTCGGGTTCTCCTGCTTGTGCAGCGAGCACCTGATCCTTCTCCCCAGCCCCAAACCTAAATACTTTCTACAAACAGAAGTAAAAACATCCTGTATATGATTTTAATATATTCCTCATTTATTTTTATTTAATTTTATGTGTGTTTCCTCTATAGATTTAGATGCGATCTCAACAAACACATAGTATTCTTTTGTGTATATATACCTAATTTGACTAACTATTCCAGTTTGTGCTTAATAATTAAGACTGCAGTGGACATTTTGGTTTGTGGTTTTTCACTTGTTTTTGAAACAGTGGCATTAGCATGCTTTCCCGGGTTTCCTGGACCAGAGGTTGGAAACTTTCTGAAGCTTGCTGCTCCTTGCTAACTTTCTGAAACACGGTGATGTGTGGCAGGCAGTCTCAACAGTTCTTGACTACTGGATGAAACCAGGTCTAATTCTCCTTCACAGTAAAGTTTCAGCCTTTTGCGATTGCCTGTCTGAAAGGAAAGGGAGCTAGAGTGGCTCACTTGGGTCTGCAGACTTCATACTTGCTTCCAGATGAGCCTTTCTATCAATGCTGCCCTCAGCCAGTCACTGGCACTGCTGCGGAATGGGAGGATGGACTGATCTGAACTTCACGTCATCGCCTACTCCTTTCCTCATTTCTGTGACCAAATACCTGACAGGAAGCACTTAAGAAAGAAACGGTCTATTTTAACTCACAGTTTCAGGGAGTGCTAGGCAAAGAAGTCATGGCAACAGGGACTTGAGACACACTGCTGGTCACACTGCATCCACAGCCAGGAAGCGGGGAGCCGTGGAGTCTAGCTTTTGAGTGGCTGTCCCCTTTTCATCCAGTCCAGAACCCCAGCCCATAGAATGGTGCTGCCATATTTAGGATGACTTTCCCCACCTCAGGTGACCTACTCTAGACCACCCTTCTCTGGTATGCTTGGGAGCTCGTGTTCTGGGAGATTTCAGAGCCTGTCAGGTTGACAATACCCACCAGCACTCCCCTTCTGCCCCCAGGTTTATGTTCTTGATGGTAGAACCTCTTTTGAGTAGCAAAATAGCGACGTATTTTTTGGCACGAGAGGGAAAACATCATAAAATGCACCAAGGGCTGTTGAGTCCTGGAATTTCTCTCTGTGGTGCTGAAATGATAACTTGGTGGTATGTTGAAAGATCGTGCAGACTTCAGTGAGACTGGTGATGTCGCTTGTCACCACAGATAAGGGATTCCTGAATATGGTCACCATCCGAGGTCAGAGCTGAGGCTGGCTCCTGAGTCCTATTGGAGTCCTTGCTGGGACGAGCAGATTCAGGGTGCTTTATCATTGTTGCCTCAACACTGGCACTGGTGTTGCTGAGGACAGGGAGGAGGAGGGTGGTGATTGAATGGGGATGGCTCCCTGAGAGCCCAATGTTTCCTTCTTTCAGGTTACAACTTGATAAAGAACTGTGTATAAGTGACATCTTTTTTACATGTGTGTCTAGGGTGACATTCCATGTATTTATTCTCGATTTCTCCCTGTTTGCCGTGTGACCAGTTCTGGGGACTGCTACATTTTGAATATAAACATGTACCCCCTAGTCTAATGTTTTGAATGCTTGGTCTCCAGCTTATAGTGCTATTCTGAGAGCAGTAAGGCCATAGGAGGTGGGACTAGCTGGCAGAAGTAGGTCACTAGGCAGGGGCCTTTGGGCTCTGGTTCCTGTCACACAGTCCCTGTTTGTGGAGGTGAGTAGAAGGGAGTCTGTCAGGCTCGGATAGTTTAGAATTCCTTCTGAGGATCAGTCTGGAGCCTAGGAGAGATTTGGGAGAAGGATGTGAAAAGACAGGAGGTGATGCCCACTACGGTTCTTCTGTATCCTCACCAAATAGTGGTGACTGATGCTGAAGTTTTTGCAGTTGTATCTTGACAGATTAAAATGGGGACAGTGGCCTGGGGGCATATGTTTGTAGTAGAATATATGACTACTATATATGAAACCCTGGATCCAATACTGAGCACCCAAGAGAGAAAAGAGAAAGCGGGGGTGGGGGAAGGGAGTGGAGACAAAAAAAAAAAAATCAAACCCCAAACCCAAGGCTGGTAGTTCACATGAGGGTTCTGAGCAGAGGGTGGGCCCTGAAGGCACCCTGATGGCCCTCACTTGCATGTGGTCATAGCTTGGTGGTAGGTCATTTGATGGTCAGTGAGGAACAAGGCTATATTCCCAGCTGACTTGATTGACAATGGAATGCTAGGCGGTACTGTAGTGTTCCTGAAAGTATGGAAAACCAGGATGGAAAGCAAGCGAGTCTGGGGCTTTGTGTGCTTTGGGAGGTGGCTGAGGGGGTTGGGTATGCCTAGTGACTAACATGGTAAGGACCTGAATGTCTGGCTAGAGCTCAGATATAACGTAAACATTACATTTGCTGGGAGATGTTAAGGAGGACCGGGGAATTGGTCTTTAGGATGGGTGGTGGGAAGGAAGGATGTCCAAGGACTGGCCAGGAGGATCTGCCATGCTGTTGCTCCTCTGGGGTCTGCAGCAGTAGAGCAGGCACGGATATCACCCATCACTCTCCATTTTCATCCCCTTCCAGTCTTTACCCCAGCTGGCGGCCATCTTAGTTACTTTCGATACTTACAGGGACAAAAAAATCCTGACCAGAACAACCTAAGGGAGAGCTTATTTCGGCTCACATTTTGAGGGTGCAGTCCGTCATGGCGAGAAAGGTCTGAAAGAGGGAATGGGTCATGTCCTGTCCACAGCAGCTCACTACATCCTGCCCTGTCCGTGTAGCCCTGTCCGACGGCAGCCCACGGAATGGTGCCGCCCATATTTAGAATGGAACTTTCCTACCTCAATTAACGCTATCTAGAAACTCTGTCTTAGGCATGCAGAGGTTTGTTTCCTAGATAATTCTAGATCCTTTCAAGTTGAGAATCAATATAAACCATCACAGCGATGTTAAGTACTCCTAGACACTGGTCAGTCCATGGCTGCGCTCATTTGTTGTTCACTTTCCAATTGGATGCTGGTGCAGGTTTCCCACGGGCTGCTGGGAAACTGGGCAGCTCACTTTACGACTGGATTCTGGTGCAGGTTTCCCATGAGGCTGCCGGGAAGCTGAGCAGCCCACAACTCTGAGCCATCTGCCTTCAGATTCCTCTGCTCTCTTCTTTCCAGTGGTCGTGGAGTCCGACTTCGTGAAATATGAGAGCAAGTTTGAGAACCATATGAGCGGGAGCATCAGGACGGCTGTGGGCAAGGTCAAGCTGAACGTTGGCGGCAAAGGCCTGGTGGAGGGCCGCTCTTCGTTTGGAACCCTGAGGAAGCAGGAGGTGGATCTGCAGCAGCTCATACAGGACGCAGTCGGGAGGTACGGGGAGCTCCGTTCTGCACGCTGGGCCTTTAGACATCTTATGGCTGAAGGTCATTTGATTGGACCTCTGCCAAAATGTGGATTTTACTAAGCAGCATGGATTGAAGTAGTCCTGAAACTTTGTCGGAGCACATTCTTTATTTCTGAATTTTCTGATTGTTTTTACCTTAGATTATAGCACTGCATATAAAATGCCAACAGTAGAAAGATGGAGTCCTGCCTTAAATTTTTTTTAAAATTTATTTTGTGTGTGTGTGGGGGGGGGCATGTTACATGGCAGACACTTGGGGATCAGAGAACAACTTGCTGGAGTCATTTCACTGCCATGTGGTCCTCAGTAGTCACGGCAGTCAGGTTAGTGACTTTACCCGTTGACCCATCCTGCCAGCCCCTGATTTGCTTATGGGGTTTTTGTTTCATTAGTGTGTCTTTTGTGAGTTTCCCTGCATAGCCCAGGCTGGCCTACTTTAGCCTTTTGAGTGCTCAAGTTACAGGTCTCTGCCGCCACGTCCTGTTCAAAGAATCAGCGATAGTTTTGTTGGTTTGATCTCGGTGCTGGTGCTTGAACCAGGGCCTCCCACACTCTGGGCGAGAGCGGACTATGTCAGCAGCCTTTCTAGTTTTGAATATTAACCATCAGAAGCAGGAAACTCTCACGTCCACCTTGTGTCTTTTTATTTTTCTCATGGGGAAGAGAACAAGCGCATGGCTTCATGAGGAAGAGCTGGGTTACCACTTCAATGTTTGGAAGGAAATCCTGTGTTTATTCATTTTTATCCCAGGATAACTCATCCTTATTGACATCCTGCCTCATGCCAATTCAACATTCAACAAGTAATTCCACTGACTGAATGCGATATACTCTCCATACTGGGGCCGCCACAGCGAGCAAAATGCTGCGACTTCTGTCCAAATTCTAGTGTGAGAGATTCCAAATGTGGAGTTAAATAAACCACGCAGGAGACAGATGAGATGGGAGACCTGGGAAGGTGTAGCAAAGGGGGATGCTGTCTTACAGCGAGTCTGGAGAAGCTGGACTGAGAACAAAGCCTTGAAGAAGGAGGAAACAAGTAGGGTCCTTCACAAGGACACTTCGTGCTGGGACCAGGATAGCTGCCCTGGGGTGACTGAGGGGAGGCCAGGGAAGATCCAGGTTCCTCAGGACCTAGAGGCCCCTGGAAAGACTTTGCCTCTCAATCTAAGTCAGATGGGATGTCCCTGGAGATTCCGAGCAGGAAAGTGACATGTTGACTTACTCTTTAGTTGGATTTTCTTGGCAACTGGGTCGGGAAGAGAAAGGATGGGCAGAAGCCAGGGGACCAAAAGAGAAGTTACTGCAGAGATCCAAGGGAGATGGTATTTCAGTGTGTACAGAGCCATATGTGCGTCCCCATGTGTCATTTCTATTACCCTTTCCCACTGATTACAGAAAATTCAAATGCAAATGCCTATGCATAAATGGAAAAGTCTCTTACATTGAGGTGTAGGTAGCTTGTCTCTTCTGCCATCCTTATGGTGGGCTATGTCAGTTGGAGAGCACTTGCCTAGTGCATGCCAGGCTGGGCTCTAGCCCTGGCAATGCCAAAGACAATAAACAGGAAATAGTATATCCTTGTTTTTAGGATTATAAGAATGATACGCTTCTTGAGCAAAAGTATGTTTTAAATTAATAAATAAAATACAACGAAACATACATGTCAAGCATTTGGTGAGCAGATTTAGCACAGGCTGGACAACATCAGACTTCCAAGCTAGGCACCTGCAGCTGCCCTATTTAATGGACACAAAAGAGCGCTATCATGTATTTGATACTTCATGGCTTTCCCTGAGACTCCCCCAGTTCCTCACTCTCGGCCAGAGAACTTGCGGGTCTCTTTGGCAGTACTGGGTGGGAGGTATGGTCACTCCGTGGCTGATCTTACTTCCTTCCTCTCTTGCTCTTGTCAGCAAAGGCATCTTCCTTCTTTCCTGCAATGGACACGGTGGTGGTAGTTTGGGGGTGGGGGTCAGGTATTGTTTATCTGCAACAAAACTGTAACAGGGCGATGCTCATTCTCTTTGCTAACTCTGCTCACACTCTTCATGAAGGAAGGAGGACAAGGAGGCTGGAAAATCACAGGGCTTTTGCTCCCCACTCCTTACCCATCCCCCTTTAGCTCCAATCTGCAGTTTTGTCGTTTCTATTTCAGAACCCAGAGTCGGGCAATATGCTTTGTGACCCTATCACCTGATGCAGGTCTTTACAGAAAGTCTCTGTGATTCAGGTGTAAAAGCTACTGTCAACGGAAAGCTTGGGGGGGGGGTAGGGATCTTGTGAATAGCTGTGGGAGAAGACCTAAAAGAGGGACGGGGAAGGGAGAAGGGGAGAGTCATCTTCGGGATACCTACTATGTGCCAAGCAGTGGCTATTTCTCAGCTTATTTTCTCTGCACAGCTGACGGCTTTTGAGTGTGAGCAAACTGAGGCTTAGGAAAGGGAAACTGTTCCCGGTCACAGAGCCCAGTCTGTGTGCTACAGCTGGGGTTCAACCCAGGAGTTCTGGGTTCCAAGTCTCTTATCCTTTCCTCTAAATCTTGCTTGATTTGGTGGAGGTAAACGTGATTCGGATGTGATGTAGAGTACCCATGAGGGTGTTGTAATATGAGCGGCGGGTCTGCGTCCCCAGCACCCCGGCCGCCTGCTAGCTTATGCCCGAAATAACAACACACAAACTGTATTTATTTAAACACTTCTTGGCCCATTTCTATCTAGCCTCTTCTAGGCTAATTCTCACATATTAATTTAGCCCATTTCTAATCATCTGTATAGCACTGGTCTTACGGGGAAGATTCTAGCCTACGTCCATCCAGGGTCGGAGCTTCATCGCGTGCGTCTGCCCGGGAGAGGGGAGCATGGTGTCTCTCTGAGCTCATTTCCTCTTCCTCCCAGCATTCTGTTCTGTTTACTCCTCCCACCTATGTTTTAACCTATCAGGGCCAAGCAGTTTCTTTATTACTTAAACAATAAAATCAACAGATTGATATATGACACTCCCACATCATGAGGGTGTTTACGGGTGAAGTGTAGAATGAGTCCAGTCTTCCTAGGGTGCTTGGGATGGGTCAGGCAGGTCTGCTCCGCCTGGACATGGCTGGACAGGTTGAGATCACCCGGGAAGATGGTTCACCCATCAGCTGCAGGTGTGATGGGAGATGGGACGGTTTGAGGAGTGGTAGCTAAGAGACGAGGAACATGTTAAAGAATGCATGTCAGGATGTAGGTTCTGCATGCATGGGCTCTGGGTTCCAACCCCAACAATAAAATATCAGAAAAAAGAAATATGTGCAGTACCTGGCCCCAGGTGGCGCTTAGTGCAGAGCTCACCCACACCCTTGTTACATTTTGCTGAGAGTTAAAGGTGAGCTATCTGGGAAGGATGGGGGTGGTGCTTTCCACGTCTCTGGATGGGTACTAATCGCTAGCATTCCTGTGACTTCACACTAGAGTAATAAACTCTTATCTGTGTGCTCTGCCCATCTTTGGACTCCTGGAACATCACCAGGCTTGATAAGGTGCTGCGGATACAGCTGTGGCCTTGGGCACGATCACCAGCGATGTCGCGGTACTGGATGTTCTCAAGGGTATATTTGCAGCCAGGCGTTTTTATTTCAGTCATTTAGATAAGGTATCATCTCTATACAAGTTTTGTAGCCAAAAGTCTTAGAGCTGGTGTGTGGTTTGATGATGTGGTTCACTTGCTGAGCTCACTAAAAGCCCCCCAGATTGACCTAGGTAGCACCAGAAGAAAGGAAAAAAAATCCAAGAATTAATTATATTCCTGACAAAATGTATGCACATCTCAAACTCCATTCTCTCTTTGAAACTATACCCACGTATATTGAAGATTCATTTAGAGTTTGGGAAATTATACTTATAGGTGCCTAGAACTTATTGTTTTCAATGCACTATGGGTTTAGTGTAAACATTTTTTATGGAAACTACCGTGATATATGTCTTCTATTTCTTTAAATGGAGATGGACAAATGTATTGAGAATTCTCAATGCACATATCTGTGGAAAAGCTCTCCAGAAAGATTTAGTATTGTCTTCTGTCACCCAACTGCCGCGTGCCACTGTCTTAAGCCTAATAGCCCTACTTTACCCCACCTCTGCCAGCCAGCACATGACTGCCTCGAATCTCTCAGAATCTGGAGAACCCATTTCTCATAATTAACCTGGACTGACTTAGTAAGTTGTGCCAGCTCCTGGCCTCACTCTGCCCAGGCAACGTGGTCTTCAGGAGTTCGCTTTGAAGTGTCTAGGTGTGAGTGGACACACAGCAGATTTTTCTCTTTGAGGTTGAGTTTTGCTTCTAGCTATGGCAACATGGAGGGTTTGGGGCTTGTTGCATGTTTTGTTTTTTGTTTCTTCTGGTGCGGGAGAATTGTCTGTAATCTGTCAATCATGTTTTAAATAAACGCTGATTGGCCAGGCAGGAAGTATAGGCAGGAAAACCAGATAGGAAGTAGAAATGATGCAATGAGAACAGGAGAATTCTGGGAAGGAGGAAGTTGATTCCTCCCACTCCTGCCCAGACTCCAAAGAAGCAAGATGTGAGCTGCCTTGATGAGAAAGGTACTGAACCATGTGGCTAGCATAGATAAAAACAATGGGTTAATATAAGCTACAAGAGCTAATATGTAGCCTGAGCTAATGGGCCAATCAGTTTTATAACTTATGGAGCTCTCTGTGTGATTTTCTTTGGGACCATGCTGGCTGTGGAGTACTGGGCGGGACAGAAACCCCAACAAGCCAGCCCTCATGTTACATCTTCGGCTTTTCAAGGCATGAATTGATTGTTACCATAAAGGCACATCCAATTTAGATTATTCACCTTGCCTCTAAGCAAATTTTGGTAAAGCTGATCATAGTTGTCTGTGTACACATGGCAATTAAAAAAATTGGCTTTTTCATTTATTTTATTCAAAAGAAAGCATACTATCTTTTTTCATTTTACA